GGTGATGCATTGATATTGTTCTGATTAAGATATTTCTCGACAATTCGAGCAACGTGTGGTAATGGCGTTATCGAATGCTTATGTCACTCCAGAGCCGTTCTGTTGAAAAGAAAGGTAAAGCGGCATCTTTCTCGTCTCGGTATCTCACCGCATTCAAGTTCCCTCCATCACAATAATTGGTGTCCTTGCTGCAGCCGTTGTGCCACTCATAATGCCCCCACCTCCCAAACAATCCCCTTCCAGCCCAGCCTGGTGCAACGGTCACCTGTGCCCCTGTAAACACGTGTCCTGGTCAGGCTGGTTAAGAAGGAAACGTGACTCAATATTTGGCGTCGTTTGGTAGGCGTCGTCGAACTGTTCTCTCAGATGCACCTCTGTTGCCAGGTATTGTACAGGCTGTAAGGGTTGTGGGAACCTTTCAGGGGTGCGTGGTTTGAATCCATTGGCCTTGAAGTTGGGTCGCTACAGGAGGACGGCCACTACCCGGATGGTCTATTACGTTATTCTTTTGCTCTAAACGTCAAATAGGATTTCTTTGGATGAGCAGCGTCAAGCTGCGAGGCGCCAAACTGAAACATACCTATAGCTCCCCATTTCTCATTTTCCCCAAGGCTTCGCATGACAAACATGTCCCAGAACGATAAATAGAAGTGTTTACTTCTATATTTCTTACCACTGAATCGCGAGGGAATATTAAGCTTCTGTTTGGCTGGCCTTTTAAAGTGAACATTGCTGGCAATTTTTTCCCCAATGTGTCATGCTTCTTTCAAATTTCGTGCATTTCAAATAACACTAATTCTGTGGTTGAAATCCAATAATTCATTCACAAGATTACCAATGAAAAACGTCCCTGTTAGAATAACCTTTGTTTAATAGAGAGTATGTCGCGAACAATATGCTAACAACTTCAGACAAGCATACACAAGGTATCAATATCATGAATATTCAACGTTATACTTTCAAGATGACTGTGGACGTTTAAAACACTAAACACCATCCTGGCGGCCTCAGGAAGGGTGGATCAATTGAGAATGCTATGTCGTTCTGTCCTCTGTGAGAATCTTCTGTCGCCGAACAAAACAAAGGCGGAGGAAGAGAGCGACCTTGCTGAACCTGATGTTGACTATTACTATACGTATGTTCACAGGAGGCTATTTACAGGTAGGCAATTACATAGAGTTGAAGTATCTCGTTCATATACATACGCAGTTTGCTGATACATGTTTGGATGAATACTTGTAACCGTTGTTTGATATAAAATATGTCGAGGAATCAATAAACGGATACAGTATTGCAAGAGAAATGCGCTTGTAACCACTCTTTATATTTGAAAGATGTTTACAAGAACACACGGATTCATTTCTTATATAAAACTGGAGCGGTGGGGTACCCGTTTGGTAAAGCGTTCGCTCGCCACGCCGAAGACCCGGGTAAGATTCCCCACATGGTTACATTGTGTGAAGCCCATTTCTGGTGTCCCCTGCCGTGATATTGCTGGAATATTGCTAAAAGCGGCTTAAAACCCAACTCACTCATTTGTGTAAACCTACCCAGCCCGTATTTAAGTTTTTAGGTTGTCGTAATGTCATGTTTGCACAAAATCAAGCTCATTCAGGTCAGATCTATTACCCATATAGTTCGATCCCTATGTATGGAGTAAAAGATTTCATTTCATTGAGATTCAAAGAAAATACACAAATTCGAGGGATGTTTTCTGTTTCAAGTTGCATTCCACCATATTGTCTCTTCAAAGTATGTACTGGTACGTACATCATAATCATATAGAGTACATATACAATGTATCTCATAATATGTAAAAGTTTCCTGAAAACTTAGGAAAACTATTAGTATAAAAGAGAAGACTTTTTGTAATGGATTTCCGCAGAATAACTTTTCATGATGTACACACTTTCCCTGGAACTAACACATTGGATTCAAACCAAATATAGTATGGCACTGCTATTGTCCACATGATTCCTGTCTGTTAATTGAGGAACTTTAGGCTGAGCCGCAATGTATAGGGAGTACATATAGCTGTCACTGTGGAATTCTGACTCCTATGTTTAGTTAGGATTCTGTGTCAGACGGTTGGATGGCTTCAGGCAGAATATCGCTACACTAACAATCGAAGTAATTAAGCATTAACAAAAACCAAAAACAAAACATAAATAAACACGATTTCAAAAACAGTATTTTTGTTTGGTATTGTGTAGTCAATGTGCGGCTATGTATTTGTGAGCAATGAACCAAAAGGCGACCTTGCTGAAAACAGTCAATCTAATCTCGTGATAATCATATTTTTCACTCACTTTTAAAGCTCTCAGAAAGGTATCGTATCGAAGTACAACATCTACAAGTATTAGAATGTTTAGAATATTTAGAATATTAGAATATTTTTCACTTACTTTCACTATCGTATCCAAGTACAACATATCACTTGGTTTAGATTGGCAGCTAGACAGGTACGCTGTATGTTGATTTATGCCGCAGGTTATGTTATTTTGAATAATATAGATAACTAGTTGCTGATGTTATGAGCAAGCTCAGGTATGAAGTTTCGAAATCAAGTTACATCCAGTTTAGTGCTTTGAACCGTTTAACCCGTTTCACAGCGCTTGCTCGGCTTGATTTATTACAAGCTGTTAACCTGACGACACGCTTTAATGATGATGATATCGACAGATTTGTTCACATCTGTTGCTGTCAGGAATACTTGTACCTTAAAAAATATGTAGGGTGCTCATATTTTGTACTTTTTGTCGAAAAGGTCACGTTAATATGGAACCGTTGTAGGGCCACAGTGAATTTTAAGTCTCATTATCTCCTACGTGGAGACCATGGTCTCTGGTTTTTAATTTACATGCTGTCGGTAAAACCGTCTCTTTTGTCAAATAAGAATCAGGTTGTATAAAACATTTACATGAAATATTTTAGTCAGTGACTTAAAAATACACTGACACAAACCAGACACAAAGGAAACTGAAGTCGCCGAAAATCCAAACGTTTTATGCGGTAATGATTATGTAGAAGTCGAGGAGTCATCCTACAGATGGCATCCCCAGCTCGTAAGCTTGCTGGCGTGGTTACCTCTTTCTTCAAGGGGCAGTGAGGTAGCCCAGTGGTCAAAGCGTTCGCTCGTCACGCCGAAGACCCGGGTTCGATTCCCCACATGGGTACAATGTGTGAAGCCCATTTCTTGTGCCCCCGCCGCGATATTGATGGAACATTGCTAAAAGCAACTTAAAACTAAACTCACTCACTCTTTGTTCACGTGGGTAAGATGCCTGACCTCTGCTGAGGTCCGTGATCCCAATGCCACCCTGACACTCGGCTCCATCTCTTTAACTCACGGTATTCTAACATGGTTGAGGGACGCTAAATCAGTCCAGGGTCTTGTTCCACAGAGATATTAGCACGAGGACTGCCTTAAATCAATGTGGAAATATGAGAATTACGAACCTCATAGTGCTCACAAAGGTTTATGGGACGGGGGCCTAGATCGAGATCTTGTAATTAGTGGCAAGTGTGAAATAATATTTGCGACATAACTTTTTTCATAATTTGGACAATTTTAACATTTAGATTAATATGTGTCATAAGATATTAGCTGAAAGAGCAAAAACGATTCAATTTCCAAACTTACGTCAGATATTCAGGAATGCAATTAAGCAGAATCTGGTCCCATCATTGATGGTCCACAACCCCATGAACACTCCGGCGACAGCTGCCATTTAGCATCAGTTGTCGGTTATCAGCGTGAATTCATTAAGCCCGCTATTGTTCGTGTTCTCAGCCGAATATTTCCTGATGTGACAATGGGCATAGGAAGTAATTATTATTGTTTGAACAGTTCTTTGAAGAATTCTTGCACCTGGTTACGGCGAGAAGTCTCAAATGGATTACGACAAAATACGTTACCGTTCAAAGCTGTTGGGTACAGGACGTTTTCCGCATTCAGCTTGAATTATGCCTCGTATGTTTTATATGTTAAATGTCATTGTTGAATTAGATCTACAATTCCAGGGACTGGGGCTGGAATTTATCACCAGTACAACAAACGGATCGTAGCTAGTGGACCCCTGATCCTTCTGTATTACATGTATAATGCCCATTTTTGAAAGGTTCTTTGCCTTCGTATTGACGGAAAACTGCCAAAATGCCGTTGTAATTTCATACTCATTCGCACATAACACCAATGGGTTGGTGGGCTAGTCTTAAATCTCGTTTCAAAATGCGATCATACCTCTTCGACTTCAAGAATCCTGTAGCTCATTATTAAAAGTTATGGAGCTACGATTACCGATTACCGTAGGTCTTAAAGGTGCATTTGTTTGTTTGTTGTTTAACGCTGCACACAGCAATATTCCAGCGGTCTGTAAATAATCGAGTCTGTACCAGACAATCCAGTGATCAACATCATGAGCACTAAGCTTGGGACACGATGGCATGATTCAAACAAGTATGCGAGCCTGATCATCCGATCCCGCTAGTCACCCCTGACGACAAGCATAGGTTGATGAAGACCAATTCTAACCGGGTCCTTAAAGGTGCAACCACTCCAGAACATTTGCAACTAATTCACATAATAGATATGAATTATGGGCCTGTGGCATTTCAGTTATCTAAGTAAAGGTCCTCCTGGTTGCTCAGCGTTCCCCAGATCTAACAGCGCCAATTCTTTTGTGGCTTGCTGAAATATTGTTCATGCATCTAAATCATGCACAACCAACACGCAAATATTTAATTACATTACCATATATAAACACTGGTGCTTCATTTATGCACGAATAACACTGTATTGTGATGTGAACGGAAAGTTTGAAATGCCATTATCATCAAATTTGGAATCAGGCAGGCCGTTGCCAGGCAGCTGAATATATAAAAGCTACAACAACAACATGGTAAAACATTTGTCACGAACGATATGACAACAGTTTCAGATAAGCATACACCAGATAGCAATATTATATTCCACATATGAACATGTGGCATATCAGTTTCACATGTGACTTAAATCTAATTGCCATCGAGGGTATTTTTCAAAACGCAATACTCTACCTCAGCGTTAAAATTCAATAAATGCACCGACTGTGCAGGGGCTGTCATATGGCTTGACAAGATGTGTTGCCCACAATGAATATTCAACGTTATACTTTCAAGATGACTGTGGACGTTTAAAACACTAAACACCATCCTGGCGGCCTCAGGAAGGGTGGATCAACTGAGAATGCTATGTCGTTCTCTTTCTGTGAGAATCTTCTGTCGCCGAACAAAACAAAGGTGGAGGAAGAGAGCGACCTTGTTGAACCCGATCTTGACTATTACTATACGTATGTTCACAGGAGGCTATTTACAGGTAGGCAATTACATAGAGTTGAAGTATCTCGTTCATATAAAAGCGCAGTTAACTGATACATGTTTGGTTGAATAATTGTTGTTTGGTATAAAATATATCGATGAATCGATAAACCATTGGAGTTAGGTATTGTAACAGAAATGCGCTCGTCACGCAGTAACCACGTGTTGATCTGAAGATGCCAGTAAGAACGGAGACCTTTCTTCTGACAGCTTCCCAAGCCCGTACATACTCTTTAGCAGATTATAGCCTCAAATCAACACACATACACTCGCTGTATAAATCTACAAATCACGTGGATAATAGTCGATAGTTGATAGATGATATCCATAATTCAACACTTGAAGCATGTCACGAGATTTGTTCAAATTAATCAAAGACGATGCAGTTTCTCGATACCTTTCTTAAATACCTTTTTTCTGTGGGCAAGAATATTGAAATGGTAATGAAGAAATGGTATGGACTCATAGTTTATGAACATATACTTTGAATGTCCAGTCAGTTGTCGGATGTATATAGGTTCTATATATACAATATGTTTAGTTTTAGCTTTCAGCTGTATAGCTGACAAAGATTATACACGTGGTACTGTGTAACAACACTGACTCATCGCATCCACCTATGACGATCTACAGATGCAGGATATGATGGTAATTGGTCGAAATATACATGAATATATGTAAATAGTACACACGTATCAGAGGTCATGGGCAGTATGGATGCTTACCTCATCACTCGTTTAGGTATCACATTACAGTATCGATTATAGGAGACAGTAATGCTTGCCACTTAACAAGTGTACCCCATCCGCTTTGATTTAGTAAAATATTAACCATTCTAACACATATCACACGTATTTAGCATTTGCTGGCGAGGCAATGATGTACCATGGATCTATATTACAAGGTTATTAGCTATACCAAATAACAACTAGAGTAAATTAACTCTACAATAGACGAACCAGCTCTTACAAATGTACACGAGAGATGTATCGATTATTCAAACTGTGACATCTACTTCTCCATTGTGTCTGCGTGGGCAACGCTGTTGGTTCCGTCAACGGTGGCATTTAAAACAGGCTTCCCACACGCAAGCCATTACTGCGCATGGGCATTGACATAAAACCGATTTCATTCCGCGTGGTAACAAATTTATGTATCATTGACGCAACAGCTGTTTGATATATACATATAGCAGCTTCGGTGCTGCCCACTGTACACATGGGCCCGTGTACTGGTATGCACATATTTAATACGTATCTACGAGAACGGGTAACAGATTTAGATAATAAATCAAGATAATGATTAAGTAGTTAATGTATATGTGAGTGGCATTTATGTGAATACTAAGCCACACAAATGATTAGTCGATATGGTTGATCTTGGAGGAGTGAGATGTGATTTTGGGGAAATCGGTCATTATTTTGATCTTCATGCAAATCGACAGTTGTGACCTTGAAGATGGTGTATTCTCAGTAGGATGGAAAGAAACAAACTCAAAGAGGGATTTATTTTTTCAAGGAAGGCCCCGGGTGAGAAATGACAGTCTACAGGAAGCGCTTGTTAATCACCAACGTCAGTGTGACGTCCCTTGCCCCCGCAGATACCATCGTGGAAGGTTTTCCGTTGTCCGCGTCCAGCTGGCCAATAGTAAGCTGATAAAACAATATATATATATATATAATGAAATAAACCAGACTATTTATTGAATTAAACCTATATGACTGGATTATGGTTTATAAACGCAGATAAAACAGAACCTCGTACACGCACTATAGACAGTTCTATAATTATAAATCTATACAATGTGTTGCCCTGTTAGATATCACTTTAATTAGTGGCACATGTGATATATATTGATGCACTTACGATTCTTTGTTATATATACTCTTTAAAAAAGTAGAGAAACTTCATTTTTAATATACGATTGAAAAAAATGGGATATATGTCGGAGTCAGTCAATGTTGATATGATAATAATGAATAGTTTGAGAGTGCATCACCACTTGCACTTCCTTATGACCATAGTGGTTTGTAAAGTAATCGCTCTTGAAAGATGATTGGTGTATGACGTGAAATTTGCATGTGTACGATTTTCATTTTCAAAAACCAAAAACCGGCTAGAAACAAACACTGACAACTGTGTGATGCAAGATAACTGCCAAATTTAATGGTCTTCAGCGATTTATCGACCTTCTTAAAAACCACTCAAATCAAGAATGACACCCCATGCACGTGTGTGGGGCTACTGCGTTGTGCACGTGCATCCCATGTGTTGTCTTTAGGGGTGGTGTTAAGGAGAAATGGTGGCGCGTTCATAAGAAGTCTATCTTTAAAAGTTTGTTATACTTCCTAACCAAAGTGAAAGTTCAGGTTTCCCTACTTTTTTTGAAGAGTGTATAACACGGAATCCTGTGGCACGGGGGCCCCAGTCGTCATCGCGCTGCAATTCGCTGTACAGAGTTGCTTCCCTTGGGCATGTCATAATATTTAACCCAACGATAGTGGTTTCGAATCCTGGCCCGCTCCGATTATTTTTCTATGTTTCTTGGAACCATATCCGTGCTGGTCGGAAGTAACAAAAAGGTAAGAACTGTACCTGAGACCTGCATCACTTCGAGCTATCCTCCCATACCACGTAGAATTGCCGGAATGCAACTGGAATACTGTTCAAAGCGGGGTTAAAACCCAACTCACTCACTCACTCACTCACAAGGAGACAAAGTAGCCTGTATGTAACTGGCAAGTACACTGAAACCTCCTTAATCGTGGCCCCGTCAATCCGAAAACTTCACATTTAGGTCGAATAATTTGTTGACGTCTTTCAATAACCAACGACATTAGAGTGCATTTTTATACAGTGAAGATCCGGGTTGGACTTGATCTTCAGTAACGCATGCTTGTCGTAAGAGGCGACTAACGGGATCGGTTGGTCAGGCCCACTGACTGGGTTGACACATGTCATCGTATCCCAATTGCGTAGATCGATGCTCATGCTTTTGATCACTGGATTGTCTGGTCCAGACTCGATGATTTACAGATCGCCGACATGTAGCTTCAATATTGCTGAGTGCAGCTTTAAACAACAAATCATATAATTATTATATTATGTTGACTGGAGAGTAACAAAATTAAATTATTGCATGATGAAACAATTATGTCAGTGTTTCATCAATTTTTCATTATACAGCAGGAGACTGTATGTTTTTATAATGCAAATACATACTTATCGAAACGGTTGTAATTATCATATAGATAAGCCTTATTGTTAAACACTTCTGTACATACGCCATTGCAGTGTGAATATTCAGATCAATACACGAATCTCATGCATAAACCGGAATACAATGTGTTCCAGTGTTACAGTAGGATCGTGGTGAAAATGAATGCGAGATGGAAGACCAGACAAAAATAACCATATGTATGGAATTCCTGAAACCAAGATACCTGGGATGGGGAGACTACTGTCCATTGATGAGCAATCAGTGTACTATCTGATGAGGCGTATTAGGCTGCTTAAGAAACTTAAACTTTCTCGGGAAGATGGTTGCCAAAAAGAGATGGGCGATAGGGCTTATAAGTAACGACGGAGTGAGTGAGTTGGGTTTTACGCCGCTTTTAGCAATATTCCAGCAATATCACTGCGGGGGACACCAGAAATGGGCTTCACACATTGTACCCACGTTGGGATCGAACCCAGGTCTTTGGCTTGACGAGCGTTCGAACCTTTTAACCACTAGGCTTCCCCACCGCCCCGTAACAACGGAGGAGCACCATATGCCATAATCACACACACACACACACACACACACACACACATCAACCGCATCTGGCTACACACTGTACTATTGCAATTATCAAGGTTAACAATTAGTAGATAACATCATCTACGTCATAATACCGGGGAAAACCTGCCGACCTATTGTGACGTCAGTTCAGTTTCGTTTGTTCACACTATTGGCCACTGGTTTGACAGTCCAAGTCATTTCAGACTTATGTGATACAGCTGTTATTATATTGCATACACTATTTCACTCGAACACAGAAGAAAATGAATGAGATTGGGCTGTGAGAGAAGCGAGGGAAAATCAGAAGTATTGTCGGACGCGAATTCCAACATTGTTGTTTCCGCCCTTTCGCATGAACGCAATATTGTGTACGTGTCTATATTGTGTACGTGTCTATATTTTCTTAAACATCTCATATATATATATATATATATATATATATATATATATATATATATATATATATTCCTCCCACAGCGCTATTCAAAGGTGGTGTTGAAAACTGGAAAATAGTAAAGGAACGTTTGAATTTTCCTGTGTTCCCTTATTTTTTTTCTTTCAGTATATATACATATAATCAGGGATGGATGCCCACTGTGAATGCTATATTCTTCGCTGACCTGCCTGAAAGAACATAACAATATTATACATTTTTAAATGCCTAAAAATGCATATCCATTGAGAATGGTCAGGCTGACTGAAAGCACATACTTGCTAAAAAGGAAAAGAAGTACTGTCGGAAATGCTAGAAAAATGCTTTTTGACTTATATTTAAAATTCAGAGGTATTACAGTTACTTAAATAATAAATATCACTGTAAGAAACATCTACCTAATGTAGACCGAGGGAATAAACTTTGAGACATGCCCTAAAATGTGTTTTTACTGATGAAAATACCAAAAACTTAGAAAAATATCGGGTAGTGGGACGTTATTTGATACAAACATTAACTGCCTGTGTTACGTCATCAGCATGCACGGTATCGACAGGTGAAATTGACACCTGAGCGAAAGCTCGGGGGAGGGGTGATGTCAATAGATGTTTTCTTCAAAATGTTGAATATGTGTACGTATAGTATACGTATTGGTTATGTAAGGGATCATTTGTGTATGTGTGTATGTGTGTTTGTTTTGAAATAAACATACGAATTACTGTACATTGGAAAGAATCCTATCACTTGTGTTATCTTATCGATTGTAGATATTTGCAACGTT